AGGAAGATGAGCGATAGGAGTTGCAGCATCTCCAATGAACTCCGCCTGGAAGGGAGATTCTGTGATGTGATCATCAGTGTGGATGGGGTGGAATTCAAGGCTCACAAGCTCATCCTCTCTTGCTGCAGTATCTACTTCAGGTCAGTAGTTGAAACACAAGGGGATGGGGACAAACGGTAATCCCTGATTGAGGTCACCCTGCCTCAGCACTTCTCCAGGACTCCACCTTCACTGAACCTCTCATCAAGTGATTTCCCATAGTCCCCACACCTCCCTGAACACCAGGATTAATCCACATATCACTGTCTCTAAGCCCTGGTGTCTGAGGAGCCCCAGACACAGCCTGGCCAGCCTGGCCCAGCTGCCATGGGGCAGCTTTGCCTTCCCCACACCCTGTGACTCTCTGGAGTTCAAGACCAAGTGTTGGTGCTGCACCTGGGTTGAGGCAACCCCACCCCAGTATCAATCCGGGCTGGGGGATGAACGGATTGAGACCAGCCCTGGGGAGCAGGACTTGGGGTGCTGGTGGGTGAGAGGCTGAACATGCTCTGGCTGTGGGCACTGGCCCCCAGAAACCCCCCATTGTCCTGGGCCCATCCCCACAGCATGGGCAGCAGGAAGTGGGGGGATTCTGCCCCTCTGCTCCTCTCAGGTGAAATCCCCTGCCCTGCTGCCTCCAGCTCTGGTATGCTCCAGAGGCTGTCTCCTTTTTCAAACAACCAGCAAGTAAAACATTAATCAATAAACCATGGGGCCTACCAGAATATCTCCCACCAGTGCCAAAACTGGTGCCCTGTAGGCAGGGGGAGCACAGGGGATCCAGGGGCAGGGTTTAATGCAGCAACATCATGTTTTTAGGACTCTGTTTACCAACTGGGACAGCGCAGACAAGATGGTCTATCAAATCCCTGGCATTTCAGCTGAAATGATGGGTCTCATCATCAATTACGCCTACACTGGGACAGTACCGATCACAGAGGACAACGTTGAGAGTTTGTTGGCTGCAGCAGATCAGTTTAATGTCATGGGCATCGTCAGCCTGTGCTGTGAGTTCCTCAGTTCCAGGCTGTGCTTTGAGAATTGCATTGGCATTTGCAGACTCACTGACTATTACCACTGCCCCGACCTGCGCGCAGCTGCCTGCGTGTACATCCTGCATCACTTCGAGGAGGTGTCCCAGGTTTCTGAGGAGTTCCTAGATCTCTCTGCTGAGGAGCTGGCACACATCATTGAGAAGGATGAGCTTAACGTGAGGCGAGAAGAAGCCGTGTTTGAGGCTGTGCTGAGGTGGATCGCTCATGACCCGCAGAACAGGAGGCAGCACATCGCCTGCTTGCTCAGCAAGGTGGGTGCAGCACAGCTTTGGAGCTGTCCCCAAAAGCTACCGAGGTAGCCATCGTTATTAGTACTCCAACCTCCTCCTTGCGTGTTTCAGGTTCGACTGGCACTCCTACAATCCGACTACTTCATGAACAACGTCAAAGCTCACGAGTATGTGAAAGACAACGCCAACTGCAAAGATCTCATCATCAGTGCCCTGTCTGAAATCTACGACCTGAACTCCTACGGCCAGAGTTCCTCAGTCAATGCCAACCCGCTCACCCGGCCGCGCCTGCCCTACGCCATCCTCTTTGCCATCGGGGGCTGGAGCGGGGGCGGCGCCACCAGCGCCATCGAGACCTACGACGGCCGCACTGACAAGTGGCTGAACATCCCCTGGGAGCAAGAAAGCCCCGTTGCCTATCACGGCTCGGCTTATTTGAAAGGCCACGTCTACGTTATCGGTGGATTCGATGGCACAGATTATTTCAACATCGTCAAACGGTTTGATCCACTGCAGAAGACGTGGCAGCAGGTAGCACCCATGCACTCGCGGCGCTGCTACGTCAGCGTCACCGTTGTGGACAACTTCATCTATGCCATGGGAGGGTTTGATGGGTACATGCGGCTCAACACAGCGGAGCGGTATGACCCAGACACCAACCAGTGGACCCTGATCACCCCCATGCACGAGCAGAGGAGCGATGCCAGCGCAACCACGCTGAATGGAAAGGTAAACTAACCCCAGAGAAGAGCAGTTGGGGTTGCAGCATGAAGGAAGTTCACATAAACTTTCACTTAATTTGTAACACTTAAATTCATAACAATTCATTAAATCCTGGAGTTACAGATGTAAAGCAGCCTGCCTGGTGTGGCAGAGATGTGACCAGGAGGACAAAAATTCTTCTAAAGCTGCTGCCCAAATGGAGCCCAACAGCCCTTTTCCTGGCCATAGGTGCAATACCAGGCCTGTCTGCTTCATGCAGCTTGGAAAATCAAGAGATAAAATCTTGCTGGCATCAACTTTTTGCACTGCTGCTATTTCGAACCCAGGATGACAAGACCATTCCCATTCTAAAACAAAACACCCCAAAAAATTCTGCTACACCATTCATTTTCTCTTCAACATGTTTCCTGACCAAGGGTCTAACCACCACATTCACACTTTCCCACCTCTCCTGTCCCCCAGGTGTACATCTGTGGTGGGTTTGATGGTGATCAGTGCCTCAGCTCAGCTGAAGTGTTCAACCCCACCACAAACCAGTGGTCCCTGATCGCCCCAATGAGCAGCAGGAGAAGCGGAGTTGGGGTGATGGCGTACGGGAACCAGGTGTACGCGGTAAGGTTTGGGTGGCTGCAGTTCCCAGACCTTCAGGGTGGCCATGTGAGGTTTAGGGAAGTCAGGGTTAGGCTGATGCACTTCCCAAGAATGTTATCACCCATCACACGCTTTTGAGTATGAAAATGGTGTTTGGCAATGTTTAAGCAGCTGCAGCAAAGAACACAATTTCTGCCACTGCCAACAGCATCAGCAGCACAGAGCAGGGGCTTGGGCCTGTTCATCCATTGTTTATCCTCTCCATGGACTGCATCCAACCTCTGGAGAACTGTCAAAATTGACAGTTGCATAAAGTGCTTTGGAAAACTCCTCAGGGAGCAGAGAGCAATAAGCAAGAGCCATGTTTGGAGATCTGGTGCTCTCTGCCATGCTCAGACTGCAGCCAGGGAGGCAGGAGCAATTCCCATCCCACTTGTACATGCCAAGATCTGGCTGAGGAAAGGCCCCTTTCAAGCTCTGTCCCTTTGGCATTTGCAGGTTGGAGGGTTTGATGGGAACAGCCGGCTCCAGAGCGTGGAAGCGTACAACCCTATCGCCAACGCCTGGCACGCCGTGCCCTCCATGCTAAACCCACGCAGCAACTTTGGCATTGAGGTGATGGACGGCCTGTTGTTCGTGGTCGGGGGCTTTAATGGGTTCAGCACCACCGTTGCCACCGAGTGCTACGAGGAGGACACCAACGAGTGGTACGACGCCCACAGCATGGGCATCACCCGCAGTGCCGTCAGCTGCTGCGTGGTGCCAGGGCTGTCCAACGTCATGGAATACATCGCCAGGCAACACTACTACCAGCACAGCTCCTCCATGGACATCTTGTTCACCAGTTCAACTCGGAGCTCGCCGTTGTAAATAGTTCCCCTTAGCTAGGAGTGTTGTGATCAGCCATCAGTGGATGCTTGTGTAAATAGTTCTGCGTATCTAATAAAGTCTTCTGAGCATCCCATCATTGGATGCCTGTGTAAATAGTTCTCTTCAGGTAATAAAGTCCCCATGGCAGCAAGGGAGTATGTTCTCTTGTTCTAAAATAGAAACAATTTTAACAGGCCAAAAGGATCATTAGGATTTCAAATTTTCAATCACCAGCACTACCCAACATGAGTATCAGCCACACCTTATACATCAACTTAAAAATCAAAAGCACAACAGAATGCTAGAGAAATAAAAGGTTTATTTTCATTAATTCATCTCTTACAATAAACTTTAGTACAGTGTATTTAAGGTCAAGAACAGGACAGCAGGATCTGTTTCAAAGGGCCTATGACACACACTACTTTACCTCACAGGTAAGGACATGAGTGCTGCTCCCCAGGAAACTGCTGTCCCTCTGTTAATATACCAGGAGAGCAGAGCTGCTGTAACCCACAGTGACATGGACCCACGAGGAGAATCTGACTATTAATGGTCATCAAACAACTCGTTAGTTCCACACTCTACATTCATATTAGTAACAGGGTTAGATCCTCAAGAGCACCTGTTTTATCAGATTCCACCCAGCACTGTCAAATGGGAGATGCCTTGTACCCCAACCTAAGGTGGGCAGAGCTGAAAATAAATCCAAGCCACAAACCACTTTCTTTATGCTTGCTTTTCAAAGCCCACTGGATCCTGTTACAAGGCTGTATGGGGTGCTTTGAGAAGAAAGCCAGGACACAACATGTGTGTTTGGAGGCAGATATGAGGACAGGTGTAAAGGTGTGATTGTCCTAAGGAGGAGGAAAACTTCCCTCAATGCCCTTTGCCCTCAGTGAGGCCAGCAGTCAGCCTTCTCACCCTTACTGAACACACACTAGGATCCACTGACAGCTGACCAGCCTCTAGAAATACACGGGAAGAATTCCCAGGCTTTTGGTTATGGGATCATTTGATAAACACCCAGCAAGCTACGGTGGTCAAGGGCACAAAAAACTATTACGGATTCACAGGCTTGCTGGCTAAACTGCAGCCAGAGCCATGAATGCAATTCTCCCAACATCTTATGTGATGCAATGGATCATTCAACCTATCAGTCACAAACCACATCAGTGCCACTGGTCCCCTGGGATCCAAGGCTAAAAAACCCCAACTGCTTAAAACTATCCCAGAACTGGTTGAGCAAACCTTAAGAGCAGACAGTGCTGCTGCCAGCCCCCCCTCACCCCAGAGCACACGGAGGGACAGCACGGCACACACAGCATGCGGCTGGCACACACGGGTTACCTGTCCAGGGATGGGGCTGGGCTCACACAGGCTCTGAGTGGAGTGCTTTTAGTAAATGCCACAGCTTGTCCGTCAGCCCAGAGTCCTCCTGGGAAGTGCAATATCAGTTTTGCTTAGGGAAAGCAAGACTGCAAGGTTTATTCTTGCCTCTTTGTTGCACAGTGCCATGCATTAAATATTCAGTTCCTATTCCAACTGAAAGAACCATCTTGGTGTTTCTCCCTACAAATTGTCTGTATTTGATGACAGACTACAAGAGAGCTTGGAGAGAGCTATGGTGATGACCTGCCACTTCCAACTGCCTGATAAATCCTTCCAGCTGGTTCAGCAGGGTGGAGGACATGAACTCCTCTCCATTGCTTTGGTGCAAAGTCTGGGAAAGTATCTTAAAATCAGCTCCTACAAATTGCTGTTACAATGATGGATTCAGCACTAGAGGCATTTGCATCACAAACGGCTGCAGGAGCAGCAATTCTGCACCTACTCCAGCCAGACCTGCAAGGGTCCATAAGCTGGACTCCACAGATCAAGCCCCAGCTTACAAACCTACAGCAGCTGTCTGGGAATAGTCACCTGCAAACATCACCTTAAACTCACCTATTTCCTCTTGCAGGAAGCCAGTAGCATAGACTTCACCTGCCCCAACAACCAAACAGGCAAAGAAAATACAACATGGTTACCACAGAGGAGTAAACTGAGACAAACTGTTCAGAATTTCAAGTTTGGTAGTTTTTTTAACTAAGGCTGGAGACTCTCTCACAAGCAGACAAATTGTTGATATCGAAGTGACCCATGAACCACAAAGTGAAGCATTAAGGGACGTACACATCAGAGAAACCTTCACACACTGAGTGGTAGAAAGACTTACCCCAAGTTTCTGATATGATCTGGGCTGCCTGTTGAACTGGAAAAGGAGAATGAGCAGCTCAGGAAGCAAAACAATTAAGACCAAAACAAACCCAAACCGGTTAAAAGTTCTTTGCAGAGAAGTCACCACGTCAAACCCATCAGCAAACCATTAATGAACCAAGAACACTAACAGATTTTCCAGAAAAGTTTGTCTACACAAATTTTGTAATACCCAGGTTACTCTTCCCATTCCCTTCCCTAAGATCCTGAGTTAGACTGCATGGAAAAACCTGGAACATTCAAAAGGGAAGGATGGGGAGAAAAGGAGGTAGGAAGTATGCACTGAAACTGTTGGCAAATGAAAGGGTCCTGGAGCTTCTTGGCCTGGGGAAGAGGAGTGCTCAGTGGGTCAGAGAGGCAGGGATACTCAAAGGTACTATCCCACATTCTGCTCCCTGGGAGCACAGCAGGAAGCAATCCAGAGCCAACCAGGGCATTTGCATGTACAGCCACCCCAGAATGCCAAAAGGTGTTTAAACGAGCTTAAATCTCATCCCCACAGCAAGTGGGGATATTCAGATACTTGGAGACTGAAAGGCCAGCTCTCCCCCCTGCAGGAGCACATGTGCCAGCTTGGTACTGAGCTGCAGCACAACTGCTGGGAGTCCCTTGGGACAGCACAGAGGGCAAAGGCTTCTGATTGTCAGAGACAGGCTGGAAACAGCAGGGGCTCTTCCATCACTTTTCACTAGAATTAAAACATGTGCAACATTTGAGAAAAGACCTACAAGTAGCTCAGGTTTCACTCTATTCCCATTAAACAATCCCACTCTCACTGATCTGCTTTGACAGAACTGAACAACCAGTGTGGGTGGGTGGCTAATTGCTGGTTGTCACTCCTTCACTCAGGCTGTTGACCCAAGTTCTTGAGTCAGACTCAAACAGACTCAAATCTGCAAATACACCTGAAAAAAATATCCACTGCCTCAATCTCTCTTTTAGCGCCTTGTGTCCAACCAACCATCCATTTATAAACAAACTCTGCAGCCTCTCTACAACACACAAATACAAAATATTTAATACACATACAAAGATCCTGAAGTAATTTCATAAAGAAAGATTGTGCTTTTGTTTCATACAGAACTATTGCACTTGCCTCCAGCTTGGGAAAGCCAAGTACACCGACACCAATCCTGTGAAGTTTAGTCACTGAGGAGATAATCAAAGGAATGTCAAGAGATAAGTGCAAATGAAACAGGTGCCTTCAAGCACACACAAATGTAACCACTAAATTATTAAGAGAGAGATCTTTGATTTTCCAAGTAGTACTGTTAGAGACTAACTGTACAGAAACCGTTGGAATCAAAGATCTGAGGAGAGAAGTAACAGGCTTAATGCTCCCGGAGACATTTCACAGCCCGATACAGGCTACAGCTTTTCCCTGGGCATCATTAAGGAATACTGTTGGATTCACGGAGTGTCTCAATTCCCACCCACCCTCAACTTCTGAGCTTCTGAATTTTCAGTACACAACAGATGTTGGTTTTATGCATCAAATCCAATCTGCGCCCTCATGTTTTATAAAGACACATCAAGCCTAACAAACAGGTTTATTTTCTAGGCTCATCAGGAGTGATATTGCAGACACTAGCACTCGATCTGGGAGCGTGGCATCCTTCGTAAGCTCAGGGAGTATCGGTGTATCTCCTGCATCTGCCTTTCCTGCATTTGCCTTATCCTATCTTTTTGCCACATGAGATTTTGTGGCATGGGGTACCTCTGTGTTCCCTGCAGGCACCTGAAAGGGATTCTCACATGGCAGGCAGTGGCTCTGCAGCGGGGCTGTGGCATTGGGGGCAGGAGCATCCAGCGCTTCCGCTCAGCGCAGTAGCGATAGGCCTCCTTCCTGTACTGCTTGTCAATGTCATCGCTGTTCTTCCACCCCCCGATGATAAACACATCATCTTTGTAGTAACAAATAGCTGCTCCTTCAATGCTCAGGACCTCGGGGGGCAAGGATTCTAGGATTTCATCTGAGGCCCTGTTGGAGATTTTTCCCTTGGCCTCCTCATTGTCTATGGGGTAACTCTTGGGGCAGCACGATGCTGTGTGGTAGAAGTTGGTGTTGGCAACAGACATCTGGAAGGAGCAGTAGTTGTCAATGAGGGGCAGGGACTCCACGTCCTGCCACTGCCTGGTTTCAACATCATATCTGATAATAACAGCCCTCAGCCCATCCTCGCTGTCACTGTCAACCGGGGTGCGGGCAGCCACATACACAAAGCGGTCCTCCACGGAGACAGCTTTGACATCCCGCAGGATCTTTGGTGCCGACTCCAGGTTCAGCCACTTGTCCTGCTCAGGATTATAAATGGCCACATCCTTAAAGCCTGGACTGAAATTGCCGTGTCCACCAATACTGTACAAGTTGCCTTTCACTTCAGTAAGGCCAAAGGAATGCTTCCTGGTGATTAGGTTTGAAACCTGCTCCCAAATATTTCTGTTTGGATTGTACCTTTCCACAGTCTTGGCAAACCCCGGTTCCATGGAGCCAGCCACATACACGTAGGACTCTGTCACGGCCACGGCATGCCCATCCAGGTGGTTGTGGATGTGAGGCAGGTTCACCCACCTGTCCTCATCAATGAAGTAGCCCACACACTCGCTCAGGTAGTCGCCTCCCTCAGAGACGCCGCCGATGACCATGATGACATCCATGTTCTGTCCGAAGCGCGGCAGCAGCGCGGCAGGACAGGCGGAATGCTGCAGGTTCCCAGACTGCAGGTTCTCAGAGCGCAGGGCATGGCTCTCCACAGCCTCGGACACCAACTTCACACAGGCCTCGTTGCTCAACACCAGGTGCTCAGATTTGACGTGGCGTGTCAGGTATGTGGGTTTCATCTGAGACAACCTTAGCAGCTTAAAGAGATCTTCAAAATACCTCTCTCTTTCCTCAGGATTTTTCTGAACCCACTTCAAAACAGTCTCAAAGAGGATTTCTTCAGAGTCCACCGTGATCTCTGAGTCTGAGAGCCAGTCCCGGACAAGGTGAAATGGCAAAGTGTAGAACTCCTCATCTTGGATGACTTTGTGGAAGTTTCTCCTGATCATATCCTGTGCTTTGAGGGCCAGCTGATTCAGGGAATACATGTGGGCCAAGCTGTGAACTGCCACACAGTTGGAGAGGTTCAGTTTCTTCTTCAGAAACTCTCCACAGAAGTCCTTCAGCCGGGTGAGCAGAAACCTGCAGGACAAACAAGGGAGTTATAGATACCTGGAGGTGTTCAAGGGCAGGCTGGAGGGGCTTGGAGCAACCTGAGATAGTAGAAGGTGTCCCTGCCCATGGCAGAGAGTGGACCGAGATGAACTTCTAAGGTCCCTTCCAACACAAAGCAGTGTGTGATCCTCTGATGCCGTGGCCCGGTGGCCGCCAGCCCCCGCCCCTGCCGCACTTACCTGTCCGCCATCTCCAGCACCTCATGGACGTTGCCGGGGCTCACGCGGATGGTGCCGGTGTACATGAAACCGATAACGGCCTCCACCGTGTCGGGGTCGGGGCCGCCCTCCGAGCTCCACTTCTGCAGCTCCACGCGACCCGAGCGCGACTCCGCGAACCCCCCCGAGAGCAGTGGCGTGAAGTACTCGGTGGCGGCGGCCAGGACGGACCGGTGCGCCCGGTACTCGCGGGCCATGCCCGCGCCGCCGAAAGCCAGCGTGATGTCGCAGTACAGGCCGTGGCGGCGCTGCTCATTCTGCCGCCAGGCCAGGTCGGAGCAGTGCGCCGGGCACCCG